TGTTGAAGTAATAAAAACTAACTCTATAGTTTCCAGGAACGTCGCCGATTTTGTTTATCGTTTCTGCGAAACCCCCGGCTGGGTCGATTTCCGGTTCCCAGTCTCAATTATTGCGAATTAGTTTTTTTTAGTTAGTCTGTACACAGCTAGGCTGGTGATAGAAGCTCGTACAGGGAGCCCTCTACTTTTGTACTTTACACTTCATTAAATATTCTTTTAATTAATAGCCCAAGCGTATTCTTTCAAGATACCTTCAACAGGTTATGGGCCCAGACACACAGGTGTACTAGGTGTGCAAAGGGTTATCGGTCGCGACGCGAACGCGGAAAGTGCGGCGGTTCGGAAAATTTCCGGTATTWTTGACTGTTTCGGTTTCGGTGTGAAAGAAGAAGTGGTATTAATAAAAAGATGGAAGCGTTGGATAAAGTACAAGTCGAAAAGTTGAGGGACTCAAGCAATTGGCCACAATGGCAGTTTGTAATGAGGACGTTGCTGGATTGCAACGGGGCACTTGAAGTGTGTGAAGGTACGTTTCCCAAGCCTGAACCCCCTGTTGAAGGAGCTTATGCTCAAGAGGTGGGAATGTATCACACAAATTTGGATAAATGGATAAAAGCGGATAAAATCGCCAGAAAATTATTTGTGACGACTGTTGAGGCGAAACCTCTACAATTCTTGATGAATGCGSAAACAGCGCAAGACATGTGGCAGAAGTTGCACGCGGTTTACGATTTAAAAAGTGACGAAACTTTGGCTTTAATTCAGAAGCAATTTTTCGATTTTAAGTGGGATGTGTCGATGTCCGTCGGAGAACACATTGCGAGATTAGAACAGTTGACAAATCGAATGCGAAAATTGAATGCAATGATTCCGGATTCAATGCTTTTGWCGCGGATTTTGTCCATATTACCTGGAGAATATAGACATTTTCACAGTGCGTGGGATTCCACTGATGTCGCTCATAAAACGCTGGATAATTTGACAACAAGATTGCTGACCGAAGAGCAGAGATTGAAAAGCCAGGAAGTGATAAGTGTTGACGAAACAGTGGCTTTGTTGGYGAAGGCAAATACAAAAAAGCAAGACAGTGTAAAGAAGAAAGGACATTGTTTTACGTGCGGAAAGAAGGATCATATGCGCAAAGACTGTCGTGGTTGTTTTGTGTGCGGATCGAAATACCATCTGAAAAAGGACTGTCCAAAGAAAGGAAGTGCAAATAATTATAACAGGGATAGCAGTGGTAAAGGCAATCAGGCATTAGCGTTTATCGGCACCGTTAACAAGTCGTCAATTACTGAAAAGGACGATTGGATCATAGACACGGGAGCGTCTGATCATATGACTAACGAAAGGAGTGTTTTCAAGACGTATTTGGATTTTGAAAACCCGATAAACATAAATATYGGCAATGGTGAGAAGGTGAAAGCCCTTGGCAAAGGAACTGTAGAAATAGAGTGTCTGGTGAACGGAAAGTGGCTGCCCGGAAATATGTATGATGTGCTTTACACACCTGCGATGATGTGTAATTTGTTTTCTGTAAAAATGGCTGCCAAAAAGGACATAGACTTCGTAATTAAAAATCACGGTCGGGAGTGCGTATTTAAAAAGGACGGAAAAGTTGTGGCAACCGGAAGTGAAAAAGACAATTTGTTCAAGATAAACTTAAAAGTTGTAAGTCGAAATTCTGTAGGTGCGTGTGCGGCAACGGCAACTAAGGAGAATACATTACAACTTTGGCACGAGCGAATGGCACATCAAAATAAWCGGCATGTGCAGCAGGTCCTAAAGAAGATGGACATAAATGTTGAGGTCGATCAAGAATTTTGCGACGGATGTGCTTACGGTAAGATGCATCGTCAATCGTTCGGTACTCGTACTGAAAGGGCAAAAGCACCTCGTGAAGTAATTTATTCGGACGTTTGTGGTCCAATGCATGTTGAGTCATTGGGAAAAAGAAAATACTATGTAATATTCAAGGACGATTACAGTGGTTATCGGCATGTTTATTTCATTCGTAATAAGTTCGAAGTTAAAGACAAATTTGAGWTGTTTTGTAACGAAATTCGTAATAAATTCGGCGAAAACATTAAGAAATTAGTCACGGACGGAGGAAAAGAATTCGATAATCGGGAGATGAAGGCCATTACAAGTCGTATGGGTATTAGACATATTTTGACTCCTCCATACACACCCGAACACAATGGTGTCTCAGAGCGGGAAAACAGGACGTGCATGGAAGCGGCAAGATCAATGCTTTATTCGAAAACTGATTTGCCAACTTCGTTATGGGCGGAAGCGGTAAATACTGCTGTGTTTATATTAAACAGAACAGGACCAACAAGAGTTCCAGGTAAAACGCCTCATGAACTGTGGTTCGGAGAAAAAGCAAAAAGTATTGACGATTTTCGAATTTTCGGAACAGAATGTTMTGTACATATTCCAAAAGAGCTTAGACGTAAACTTGATAAAAAATCTATGAAAGGGTATTTTGTTGGATACCATGATGGTACAGGTGGATACAGGGTATAYGTACCAGAGAAACATGATGTCGTAATCAGTCGTGATGTAATCTTCAAGAGCGAGCCTTTACAGAATTCAATCGGTGTCTGTGAAGTTATTTTAAGCGAACAAACCGAAAATAAACCCGATTCAGATCTCACTGTGATGAAAGAGGAAATACGAAACTCCAGTGAAGGCAGTTTTTATTCACAATCAAATGATGATTCATCGGAATTGTCAAACGAAGTGTTTACAATAGGCGAAGAAAGTTCCGAATCAGAAGCGGAAGTACCAAATGAAAGAATGAAGTTGAGAGATMGATCCAAAATTAGAAGACCAGAATATTTCACCCACTATTCAATGATTGCATCGGTCGAAAATGTACCTAAAAGCTATAAGGACGCGAAAAAATGTGAAGATGCAAAGGAATGGAAAGCTGCCATGGACAATGAGATAAATTCTTTAAGGAAACATAAAACGTGGAAGTTAGTTGAGAGGCCGCCCGACAGAAAAGTAATTGGCAATCGATGGGTATATCGTATCAAAGGTAATACAGACGGCATCGATAGATATAAAGCTCGTTTGGTTATTAAAGGGTGCTCACAAAAATTAGGTGTTGATTATGAGGAGACATTTAGTCCAGTRGTACGCTTTGACAGTGTAAGGGTAGTTTTGGCCGTAGCAGCTCGAGAAAAGATGTATCTACGACAATTTGACATCAAATCTGCTTTTCTATATGGATCCCTTGATGAAGAAATTTATATGGAACAGCCTGAAGGATATGAAGATGGTTCATCACGTGTGTGTAAATTACTGAAAAGTTTATACGGACTAAAACAATCCCCTAGATGCTGGAGTAAATGCTTTACGCAATTCTTATTCGAATGTGACTTAAAGGAAAGTACAGCTGATCCGTGTTTATATGTGAGAAACCGTGATGACAATAAATTGTTACTACTTCTGTACGTTGATGATGGCCTGATAGCAGCCACCAATTTAGAAGAAGTCGAAACATTTCTGAATCAGTTGAAGAGTAAATTTGAAGCTACAATTACAAGTGACGTTACGAATTTTCTTGGATTCGAAATTGAACAGAAAAACGGAGGAATTTTTATTAGTCAAGCCMATTATATTGATAAAATTCTGAAACGATTCAACATGATTGAAGCAAAACCCGTATCTACCCCAATTGAACCTGGATGGAGTGTGACTGAACTAATTGATGAAGCTGTCAAATTTCCGTATCGAGAGGCGGTAGGTAATTTAATGTATCTTCAAGTCGTAACCAGACCCGATATTGCATTTGCGCTAAATGTTGCATCAAGAGCATTGGAAAAACCGACACAAGCCCATTGTCAATTGGTAAAGAGAATTTTGCGCTATATAAAAGGAACTCGACGATTTGGTTTGTTTTATCATGGGGAAGAAGGTTTTAAAGTCTACAGTGATGCTGACTTTGCTGGCGACATAATAACCCGCAAATCTACAAATGGTGTCCTCAGCAAATACAACAGTGCAGCAATCACCTGGCAGAGCAAGAAACAGCAATGTGTTGCCCAATCCACTACGGAAGCGGAGTATGTAAGTGCCGCGAATGCCGCGAAAGAAATGGTGTGGTTATTGCGCTTGTTTGACGAAATTGGTGTTCGCGATGTGCAACAGAAGAAAAATGTTTTGTATGTGGACAATATGAGTGCTATCAAGCTTATTAAGAACCCGGAATTCCATCAACGCAGTAAACACATTGATGTACGTTACCATTTTGWCCGAGATTTGTTTGAAAAAGGTRTCATTAATGTAGATTATATTACTAGTGAACAACAAATAGCGGATATTATGACAAAGGCGTTGAGTAAACCAAGATTTGAATTGTTAAGAGATAACTTGGGTCTCGTAAATATTGCTTGATTTTTGTTATTTTTGACTTATTGTACCTAGTAGATAAGTGTTTCGTTTTTGTAAAGTTTAATACAATAAGCTTGAKYGTTATGAAAATGTTTTGCGTTTTTGTGTAGAGTTAAGTTTTTAGGGGAAGTGTTGAAGTAATAAAAACTAACTCTATAGTTTCCAGGAACGTCGCCGATTTTGTTTATCGTTTCTGCGAAACCCCCGGCTGGGTCGATTTCCGGTTCCCAGTCTCAATTATTGCGAATTAGTTTTTTTTAGTTAGTCTGTACACAGCTAGGCTGGTGATAGAAGCTCGTACAGGGAGCCCTCTACTTTTGTACTTTACACTTCATTAAATATTCTTTTAATTAATAGCCCAAGCGTATTCTTTCAAGATACCTTCAACAATTTTGAAAAATTGGATAATCTTCTCTAGTTTGTTCACCCTTTCAAAAATTACAAATAGATAAACTAGAATCATATTAATGCCGTCTCTCTTGATAGAAGATAGAACAAATGATAATTGTTTCTGAAAAACTTCAGTTTATGACTATTAATGAAACAGTGATTAGTTTGACAACTACTGTCATGGGTTTCCAAAAATTAAATAATTAAATGTGTATTTTTTGTATCTAGTGTTTTGTGAATTTTGTATATTTGGGTGCGTACATTAGGCACAAGCCTCGTAAAGTTGTGTGAAACACTTTGTATATTATTATACAGGGTTATTCATAAATATGAAGCAATATTTGAACCTCAAAAATGACCTATAAAATGATGTTAATTTAAATAATAACTCGTGTCCTATCTCTACTGATAAGAATTTTACAGCCCTCGGAATGTGGGTATGGAAATTTCATTTTTTTGTAATAACTTTGGAACTATTTGACCAAATATTATAAAATTTGGAACATTTTCTTGTGACAACATACCCTTTAAACTGCTAATCACGAAAACCGGATACATCCACTCAATTTCCGGTTCCAGCAGTTGCAAGTCACATTTTCTGTGTTTTTCCATTTGATATCCAAGGTAACAAATGACCATGGTCTCACTAATCCCTGTCAGGCATCTGTCAACTTTGACATTGGACGATTATTAGACAATTAATCCAAAATATTTAATAAAAGAGTTTACCTCAGATTCCAAACATAACTTAGAATAAATCCAAATGGATCTCGTAGCATTAATTCATAAAAAATTCACAAAAATTTATCGTCAAAGTTAACAGATGCCTGGCAGGGATTTATGTGACCATGGTCATTGGTTGCCGTGGATACCATTTATTCAAAATCCCTATTTTTTGATTTCAGCGTTGTGCAGTCCTAAGTTTAAATTAAAATATCTTTGAAATGGTCCATTTTAGGGGTATTAAAGGTTATGCGTTTTTTAATCGAAATTGATTACTCTATCGATTTGGGCAATAAAAAATTGGTGTTAAGAGAGCAAAAAAATGGAAAAACACAGAAAATGTGACCTGCAACTGCTGGAACCGGAAATTGAGTGGATGTATCCGGTTTTCATGATTATCAGTTTAAAGGGTATGTTGTCACAGGGAAATGTTCCAAATTTTAAAATATTTGGTCAAATAGTTCCAAAGTTATTACAAAAAAAAACAAATTTCCATACCCACATTCCGAGGGCTGTAAAATTCTTATCAGTAGAGATAGGACTCGAGTTATTATTTAAATTAACATTATTTTATAGGTCATTTTTAAGGTTAAAATATTGCTTCATATTTATGAATAACCCTGTATGTATATGTTCTTGTTATGGGTAAATAAAAGAATTTTTCTTCCTTCACACATCAACCCTTTTTCTCTAGGGATGGAATTAGAATGTATGGAACAAGACGAGAACATGTACATGATGCAGTTCAATGAAAATTATGAACCACAAGATGCGATGAGTTTTAATAATTCCGTTCAAATTCCAAGTCAGGAGAATCAAGTGGTAGAACAAGGTACAGAACAAGTTGAAGAACAAGTAGAGGAGGAGACACAACCTTTGTACAAACTACAAAACATAGACACAGAAGCTTCAATTAAAAATGAAATTAAGCAGCTGATCTTGACTAAGGCCGCTGAAGAAATAAGTGCGAAATCTTTGGAAGATATGAGATTTGAAGTAGAAAGTGAAATTACAAATCTAAGAAATAAAACACATCAGCTATTAAACAAGACTGAAGCTTTAGTTAAAGAAGTTGAAACAGACCATAGCAGAATTGTGCAATCCGAAGAAATTTTGCTTAAAACCAATCAAATGATTGAGTTGTTAAAAAAAAATGTCGAAAAGCTTCAAGTGCGTCAAAGACAATCGCAAATGATCGTTTTGATGAAAAATAGTATAAAGCAATATACAAACTTGGAAACTTTGAGAAAATTATATGAAGCTAAAATCGAAAGAGAGAAAAAGATTGAGGCTCTGAAAATTACTGGAAATGAGCGGATTCTGAATTTAAAAAAGGAACTTAATCAAAGCCAGGCAGCTCTGGAAGATATGAGAAGAAAATACGAAGAATTCAAAAAGAACATCTCGTATTACGTCGATGAAATTGAGAAAAGTCTCACCAACAAGAATTTGCTAGAGCAAAAACTTGCTGAAATAGAAACGAAAAAGACAACTATAGAGAATGATTTTTTAGTTGAAGCAGAGAAATACGAAGCACTGCGTACGAAAGAAGAAGACCGAACTGACAAGTATGAACCTAATAACATTGTTTATGTTAATAGTAATTTTATTTACACAGGTTAAATGAAATAAAGAAAGAAAGAATCCAGTTGGAGCAGGAATTAGAACAAATGGTGCACGAAATTGATCAAATAAAAAATGATATTGCTGATGATGAAACTACAGTTTCTAAAAAAGAACTTGAATTGAAAGAACTTGAAGAGAAGTTGAATACTGAGCAAAACAGTTTTCAGGAGATTTCAGATGAATTACAGAAAAAGTCTGAAGACATGTCTTCCCGTCTAAATGAAGTTGAGTCAGCTGTTGTCTCCTCTATAGAAAATAATAACAATTTACTGAATGTAAGTTTCAGGTATTTTTATTTATTTTGTTTTTCAGTAATTAATTTTATTTAGAAAATAAATACACTCAATGATAAGTACTCCCAACTATGTGAAGAGAAATTAGCACTGACAAACAAAATCTTAACACAACAAGAAGAAATGCATTCTGCTAATATTGATTTAGTGAAAAAGCAAATGGAAAACGAGCATAAGCGTACGAAAATTGAAGAAATACAAAATCGATACGAGACATCTGTAACTCTTTTGAAATCCTTAGAAAATGACATTAAAAAAGAGAAAGACAATGCCAACAATCAATTACAGCAAGCAAAAGCAAAATTAGAGTTTGCACAAGCCGAACATGACAACCGCTCGACGGATATGAGAAAGAAACTACAGTATCTGCTCGTCAATTCCAACTGTTTAAAGGAAAAGTGTGAAAACTTGCAGAGCAAAGTCAGTGAAGAAGAGAAAACTTTACACAACCTTGAAGAAGAGTATAACTCATTAGAAGATCTTAAAGCGAAAAAACTTGCTCGTCGAAATGAGTTAAAAGAAAAATTAGCAAAACTTAAAAACGCTCCTACAGCGGAAGCGCCACCTAAATCTATATTTAAGACACCCAGTACGGAAAATGTCATCAAGCAAGTAAAATTTAATGAAATGCTGTCGTTCAAATCTGCTACAAGTAGCGATAATTCTTCTTTGCCTGTGGAAAATGTCCCGGAACGTACAGGACAACTGGTAAAAAAATATATTTTTTGCAAAATTTGAACTAGCGCTATAGTGGTTGTTTTTTTTATTTTCCAGAATACGTCTTTTCAAGAATGGTTAAACAATATTAATAATGAGAGCGACGACACTTTGAATAAGGAATATTAAAGCGAAAGGTTTGTTTCGTTTGAAGTTTGAATAGCGTTATCACTATTTAGTTTTGTTATTGTTGTTGTTGATTTGTTAACTTTTGAATTTTTGATTAAATACATTTTTTCCGACGTCTTTAATTATGTCTCTTACGTATGGTTTAAAATTTTTAACTCACTACTCAACGATAATGCTACTTGCAAAAATTTCCAATTGTTTTAAATAGTGACTATTGTTTTATAACTAATATAATGTTCACAGTGAAAGTACTGACCCCAAAGGTCAGTCAAAAGCTCAATGTGCTAAGTGACGTCATGTGCAAAAATATGAAAACAAAGATTACGCAACCAATCAATATAGAGCTTTCCAATTTGCGTGTGCTGTAATATCAAAAAACTTCCTGTCGTAATATTAATTAGTAAATTGATGTTTGAATTTTAAAGCGGTTAAACGCTTGGTGTTCCTTCCGATTCTTGTTTTTATTGTCGTAACTACACGTCCACTTTCTCCCGGAGCCGGATCTACTTTGAACTCCGGTGCACTTTTTGATGTAATCATTGGCTTGCGATGGAACTGAAGCAAAAATACTCAAGTGGCAGTCACATGTTTAAATGAAACTATGTTATTTGTGGTTATCACTTTAGACGTACCTACCACTTTCTCAGTTATTGGTGATGTTTATTTTTTTTAATTCACTCGAGATCATTGAACCCTAAAGAGTTAAAAAAATTAAGTGTAATGCTGAGACGGTGTTCGGCGTGCAGCAGGATTTAGTAATAGTAATCAGGGATTCCCGACTTCCTTGACTGCCACTTTCATTTTCAGTTCGGTAATTCGATGTGTTGAAAGAGTTGAATTACTCATCGGAGTCACCACAAACGTTGAGAGTTTGCAGATTATATTTGAGAAACAGAACCACAATATCAACAATTAATTTTTTCGGTTTCGGTTATTTTTTTAACTGTATTTAATGATGAAAATGGTTCAAAATACCGATTGGCAATGTTTTAAAAAAATAAGCTTCTTTTGGAATCGTATATGATTTGTTTTTGGTAGCCTACATTATTACAATTTAATCGTAATGTAATTAAATCACACTGTGACTGTATACACCTTAATTCTCCTGAAATGGTTTTGAAATATTTTCAGATGGGAATTTCCAGTCAGAGTATGTATGACTTGACCCTCTATCCATTCAGTTCGAAGAAAATCCCAGTTTTGTAACACATTATTATGTCATAATGAATCGGGAGAATCACGTACTTTATCAGAATTATTAATTCTAGTCTAATACCTAAAAAATTGACGCATTGTTTGGTTATATTTTGAATGAATAAGTGATGCACACAGCTCACAATCCAATATTGCTTAAGTAAATATTTTTATACCGGGGATTCCCGATCCATAATCTTAAATTTTAATTTGGTATCTGATGAACTTGTCCGCAATAAACATCTTTATTACACAATACAAAAATCCGCCAACTTTATATGTTATTGTCTTTGACCTACATCACGCCTCTCTAATTTGTCAACTAAAACGTTTTTTAATTTTTTTTTCTTATTTTCAATTCTATAACTGAACTGTAAAAATTCTGAAATTTCATTTATTGTTGTAAAGAGAATTATTTAGATTAATAAAAAACTAAAATCAACAACTTTCTAGGACTTGACGGGAGAAATTTTTAATGAAACAAATATTTTTATTTAATTTTAATTAAACTGAAACATAATAGTATCATTTGTGAAGACTATTTGTTTCAAAAATCGGCCTCACCAAACAATAAACCTATTATTTTTTCACACAATGTAAAAAAGTAAAAATTTTTCATTCCCTTTACTATAATAATCTCATTAATATACACTTACCTTCACAAAGCTTTCGTTTCAGTGATTTAATTAGTGTGATATACCAACTCATATTCTAATATTGGTGAAAATAAGTTCCTTATTTGTTGTAAATTTTTCAAATTTTCTTTTCTTTTTCTTAATTATTATCCAAATTTTGTCAATAATGTAAAAAAAATAGAATATTTCTCATGATTAACTTATGTCAATGTGCCACATGCGCCAGTTGTTGATAAACTTGCATTTTTTTTAAACTTGACGCTTCTATATTTATTTTAAAATGACTGTAGTAAATAGTAATGCTGTTTTTTTCAGGCAATATGAACATAATTATTATGACTATGCAAAAAAAATATTTCTGTAAACTGTAAACTTAAAAAAAAATGGTTTCTTTTTTTGACTAATAACCAATCAATTTTTGCTAGAAATAAAATTAAGAATTATTAAAAGATTTATATGTAGATAATAATGCCAAAATTATTTTATTCAATTTATTTTTAGCCGTTTGAAATATTTTTTAACTAGTAACCTCTCGTATTCACTGAGATAGGTAAGCCATTTAGCATATTAAAGTAGTTTACAACGAAGAAAGTAAAAGAATGTAAATAGCCTGATTTAAATCGCATATGGATCCATAAAATGCATTTAATAATTGATTATACTAATAAAATTTCCCACAACGTACCAAGATCCGTGTTTCCATCCCATTCTGTAAAATTCTTTTGCAACCATCCCCTACTAAAAACTTCTTTACCTTTGGTAAAGAATATATAAGGTGAATGCTGCAGTGTGCATCGTCAGTAGCAACAAGAATATTTTTAGTTTGAGATAGAAAGTGTCTGCCTACGTTAAGAAGGGACGATATAAAAGAGTCTATCAGAGAAAAGAAGTTCTTCATTTAGAGTGTGTAGTGCTTATCAAACGGAGAAGTGAAGCTTTCCAACAGGTAAGCTAATTTCTTTTGTATTATTTTTATAAAGTGCCAAAATAATTAATTTAAAATCTACAACAATAATTGCAAATGAGGAGCAGACTTCCAAAATGCAGTTTATCCATGTTTTTATGAATTGAGTTTTTTTTTGTAAAATACCTAAGTACGCCGTAAAATTTGTGTCCAATGTGTACATATTTTTTCACATTTATTGTCACTGATATAAAAAATTAAAATTATTTTTTAAAAGAAGGACAGTTTTTTGAAAGTCTGCTCTTCAAATGTAAATGCAACACATAAATACTCGTACAACTATAATTTTAATATATGTAATCACCAAACATTTAATACGTATTAATTAATAGTAATTTAGATATTTTAACAGAAACCATTAATTTCTCTTTTACAATATGACAGTTTCAAAATTAATGATGTGTGTAACCCAATTAAATTGTTCCACATGTTGATTATTACCCTTTAATACTGTTTTAATAAGTTATTTTGGTATATTTCTATGTGAAAGTTTATTAATGCTCAAAATACAAATAATTTCACCCAAACAAATAAATACAAATTAATTACCACTGATATTTTTTTTATAATTTTAATCAAAACCGTATTAGTTGATGTTTAATTAGCACCGGTCCAGTGTGTTACGGTACAGATTTTTCAGTTACGGTAATGAACTAGTGGCCGTGACCGCAACAAGAGCTTTGGAAAGTAAAGAAGTCATTGCATCTGACTGACGCGATAATTTTACTAAGTATAACTTGCTTCACTTACTTTCACTTGGATTTCCAAAGAAATTAACATCTACTGACATTAATACAATTGCTATTGTTTCCGTTAAGAACACAAAATTCACATTGTTATTCCCACTGAATCTATGTCAGTAATAGCAAGTTCATTTGAAAAAAAAAACCGCTTTCTTTAATTAAGTATAAAAATTGTTTTTCTTCACGTTCATTTGTTGACAAATTGAAATGACATCATCGTCTTCTTCCGAAAATGTTCTTGAACCCATGCTCGAAAGCACGGAAAGTAAAAGCGATAACCTACTTCTTCCAAACGAAGCGCCACCCACTGCACTTTTGCCAAATCGGTATAGCAGAAGGCGGCGATGTGCGAATTTCACTTTTACGCCACAACAACTTTCTTGAGCTGGATTTACCCACATTAAAGAAATTTAATTATTTCCAATAAATATAAAAATTTTCCAGACATGCGTTTGACACCAATCATTGCCTTCGCGGCAATGTACCTCCTGTGCCATGTTGCTGCTGAAGAAAACGGATGGTCTTGGGGCAACAAAGATGAATCACCATCCACAAACCCACAGTTCGAACAACAACCATCAGCCAGTGATGTGGTTGAACAAAGCTCTCAATTTAATTCGACACAAGCAGAGAAAATCATCGACCACATCCTTGTCTCAAACAGGCAAGGAAGAAACGTGGATGGCTTTGATGAAGTCTACAGCGACCCCAATGTACAAGATGCTCTCCAAAAGGGTGATGATGCTGAAGCGAGGAATCTTATAAAGGATCGGTTATGTTCCTTAGGTCTCATGCAAGTAGGTTAACGTTTAACCAAAAAAAAACTTTTACAAACACTAGATTTTTTTCCAGTGTGAGGAAGACATCCAAGGTAAACGCCCCTACATCGCCCCAGAAGAACTAATCTACGCCCAACCAGTCGCAATCAACCCTGTCGGGCGTCCAATCCCCACAATCCCCCTCAAAGTACCAAACCGTGGCACTTATGGACCCCCCAAACCTGTTCCTTTCCCCCCAGGCCCACCCCCAAGCAAATTTGGTCCTCCAGGAAAATACGGACCTCCTCATAAGCCCCCACGTCGTGGTTACGGCCCTCTACCACCCTCCAAACCATTCTACGGTCCTCCACACAAACCACCATTCCTTAGTGAACACGAAATCTACGATGGCCCTGAGTTTATCTCCAAACCGCATGATTCTTTTGCTCAACCGATCGAACCTGATTCCCCTTATCAGTTCGAAACCAGTCACCATCACAAAGATAAGAAAGTTGAAGTTCACGTGACTGCTCATGGGGGAACCACCCAAACTAGTGCAAGTCCAGGAGGTGTCCAACAACACGTCCATCACCATTTCCACCACAATGCTGATGGTGTTGCCTCTAAACCTTCGACTGTTGTGGTCAATCCGGTCCCAATTGCAACCACTGCTGCCATTTCGTCGTCAAATTTCGGATCGTCGTTACTTGAGACTGGGGGATCGACACATTTCAAACCTTCGGAACTTTTGTCTTCGAGTTTTAACCCTCTTTCGTCAAGTTACCAACCCGGATTGTCGAGTGGTTTTGGAAGTGGGGGTTTGACGATTGGAGGAGGGTCGAACTTTGGGGGATCATACGGAGGACAGACTATTGCCAGTTATGGCGGATCTTCACACAATTTGGGGTACTTTGACAAGATTAAACCTGTCAGTGAGAATTATGGAGGCAGTTATGGTACCACAGTTGGTTCATATGGTTCATCTGGACTTTACAAAAAAGAACTCAATTTAGGAAGCAATTCCATCAATTCTAATTTTATTCAAAGTAGCTACGCTGATAAATACCAAGGGTTGGAATCTGCAAGGGCAGAGAATTATGACTGTGTTTGTGTACCATATGACCAATGTCCCAGCCACGACATAATTGGACGTAAAGATGACCTTTATCTTCCCCTTGATCCCCGAAATTTGAAAACCGATATTGAAGCTTTAGGAGAGGAGGAAAGGGTTATTACAGATGGGAATGGCACAATGACGGTTGTACGAGTTCCCAAAGAGGCCAACTTTGATAATAACACACAAGTTGAAGAAAATGCCAACAAAAATGACACTAAGACGGTCACAAAGCGTGAAGCACAAACAAACGAGGAAAAGACGGACGACAAGGCCAAAATTGAACCTGTAAGTATATTTTATGATTATTCAAATAATAATTTAACGATTTTGTGTATATAATTGGTAACCCAATGAAAATTAACCTTTGGTTCGAATGGCTCGCTGTAACAAAATTATTGTCTGGTGTTATAGGAACTGCTAAGCGACTCCCCTACTGATCCACCGCCTGCCTTGTAACTAAATTACTAAAAGAAACTGTAAATAATTCAGTCTAAAATAACTCTCAAACTGACTGATTTTAAGAGACCAAAATTTTGCAGCGACAATCGTACGGAACTTATACCAACAACAACAACAATAAGAAAGTGAAACCAACTTTCGGAATTTCGTTTGGTTTACCAAACCAAGGAGGCGGTGGATATCCCATAAATCCCTACGGTCCTAATCCCCATATTAATCCCTATGGTAGTTCTATAGGTGGTCAAGGAATCAATCTCGGATTGGTTTCCGTCAATCCTTTGATCTCACTTCAAGTCACTAAAGACGATTACGGCGAAAAAATTCTAAAACCTTTCGTCAATCTTCACGTGACGCCCAACAATTACCTTCTTCATAAATTCGAAGGGCTTTTCCACTACAAGAAAAATTTGATTTTCAACAAACACAAACATTTCCACTATCACAAACCGCATCACCACAATATTCACTACTATCCAACTCATCATGCCCATGGTCCAGAAATTTACAAGGGTCCTCCAGTTTACCATCATGGTCCCTCGGACCATCACACTTTAGATTACCCCGGCCCTGAATATTCCTACGACCATGGGCCGACTCATTTAAGCGAACCACCTTCTTACGACCATTCGGTGGGACCTGATGATTATCCCCCAAGTCACCCATACTATGACCATGGCTCCTCTTTATCGTATTATGACGACCCCCACAATTACGGGGGGAGTCATGGCGGTTACTATGATGGCAGTTTTCATGGCAGAGCACACGACAATGCCACTAATTTAGTCGATGGTAACAGCCTTTTACATCAACTTCAAGAACAGTATGACAATGGTCAAAACATCTATGCCAATTCTTTGACCGATAATTCCCAAGGTGACGATTTGTACAATTCTGAAACACAAAACTCTAACTCCAGACGTGGCAAAAGCCTTATTTCCACTTCCAACCCTATTAAATTCCCCTCCGACAGAAAAAGACGTGACGTTACTATGACCCAGACAAAAAAATCTAACACGACGAAGGTAAAGTAGGTTAATCGTTAATTTTTAAACAGAAAATCACACGTTCTGAGTAATAAATTCAACATGATTTTGATCGCTTCTTTACAAAGCTGTGATTTTCTGCAATATTTTTTACATATGTTGAAGAAATTGTCTAATTTGTGAAAATTTACAGCGTCAGGCCCACTTCGGGCGCCCCTCGACTTGCGGTCCCCGCCACGTGTGCTGTCGAAGACCTCTCCGCCCTCACATCCCAACCCCCGGCCACCGACAATGCGGCACTCGCCACTCCCAAGGCATCAACGGCCGTATCAAAAACCCTGTTTACGTCGATGGCGATAGCGAATTCGGGGAATACCCCTGGCAAGTCGCCATTTTGAAAAAAGACCCCAAGGAAAGTGTCTACGTGTGTGGGGGTACCCTCATTGACAACTTGCACATAATCACGGCCGCCCATTGCGTCAAGACTTACACAGGATTCGACCTGAGGGTGCGTCTAGGTGAATGGGACGTCAATCACGATGTGGAGTTCTACCCATACATCGAACGCGAAATTACCTCAGTGAACGTCCATCCCGAGTTCTACGCTGGGACTTTGTACAACGATTTGGCCATTTTGCGGATGGACAAACCCGTTGACTTTGCTAAGCACCCCCATATCAGCCCCGCGTGTCTCCCGAGTCTTCATGACGACTACACTGGGAGCAGGTGTTGGACCACTGGTTGGGGTAAAGACGCGTTTGGGGACTTTGGGAAGTATCAGAATATTTTGAAAGAGGTTGATGTCCCTATTGTCAATCACGGATTGTGTGAGCGACAATTGAAACAGACGAGATTGGGGTACGACTTTAAATTGCATCCTGGATTTATCTGCGCTGGGGGAGAGGAAGGCAAAGATGCGTGTAAAGGGGACGGAGGTGGTCCCATGGTGTGTGAAAGAGGGGGCACTTGGCAAGTTGTGGGTGTTGTCAGCTGGGGTATTGGATGTGGCCAAGTTGGAATTCCAGGAGTTTATGTCAAAGTGGCCCATTATCTCGACTGGATTCGACAGGTTACACAGAGATATTAGAAGAATTGTGGAGAATGGAACATAATTTATAATTAATAGTTATAAGGATAACTTATTTTTGTAATGTTAGTTTATAGACCTAATTACCTAGGTCAATGGTAATTGCCTATGTGATACATTTGTTTCGAGTAATTTTAACTATTTATAATAGAAAGGTAACTTTAAAAAAGTTTTGTAATTCTGATTTAAATGATTGATTGTAATTTGAATAAAAAAATTAAATTGTGATTTTCTCTTTGACTATACTCATAATTTTCTAAACTTCTAAGTAAAAGTTTGGAGCAGCACTTTGTTATTCAAACTCAATTTTTAGTTTGAACTTTCCTCTTTAAAGTGGTGAAAATCTTATTTTTCTAGATTTTGTTTTCGTCAAAAAAATTACATACAGATGTCCGGAAAGTCGCGCACCTCCTTGAAAAGGAGTATTTGGGTAGTCTCCCAAAGTGCAGTTGGAGACAAGGTTTAACGTTAAAATGGTTGACAATTTCAAATTAATGACAGCTATTATATTTTCCTATCAAAAATATGTACATACAACTTGTCAATTATGATTGACAGTAGCTAAAAATAAGGTTAACAGTCCTAAAGCATGCTTTACAATTTAATGTCACTCAAGTGACTTTGACGACCAGTCTCCAACTGTACTAAAAAAATGTTTAAAAAATTCTGTCAAAAAATTTTGATATTTATTTTTCTCAAATAAATACTGATGATTTTGTATGTTTTTTTTATAATTATTTAGTAAAGGTACAATTTTTTTGTCAATAAAAGCCACAAGTAACATTAAACATAGTTACAATTTAGGATATAACTTTTTTGTTCCCTCTTCTAACAGCCTGTAGCAAAAAAAAAACTATTTTTCCAACAGAAATAAATGGTCAAAATGCAAAATTTAAACTCTCATAACTTCGAAATTTTTATAAATAGATCCTTTTTAAAAAAATTTTGTTGTCTAGAGCACTGCCTGATGACACAGTGTCACGGAGGTGCGCGACTTTCCGGACAACCTGTATTTCAAAACCAAAGCAAAATCGATCGTTAAAAGTTTAGCTCAAAATAATTCATATTAAAGGCTACATACATCCAATAATGCAATAAAATATAGGTGTTTTATTAAAAAATAAATACGTTGGTGTTGTAACTCATTTTTAAAACACGCTATAGATTTATATACGGGGGTTTAATATCGTTAAATTGTATATATAAATCTTTAAATGTCAATCATGGACTTTACCAACTCGCCGGAACATCCTGTATAATTCCTTCTAGGCGGAGCCACTCTTTTGCTTTCCTTAAAAGATAATACATTTTATTTCCCTAGAAACAAGTCTATCGAACATTCAAATTTAAATAATCATAAAATGTCTAATACTGAAGTTATTGAAATACATAATTCAGCACACAAAGATAAAAAGGAAAACCACCGAGATTTATGGAAAAAATTAGTAAAAGAAACCGACGATTTGGTAAAAGAGGTGGAAGAATATAAACGTTCGAAAACACCGGTTCTAGATCCTCCCCCACGTACGAATTCTTTTTATAAAAAAAATTCGTTAACACAATTTTAGATCCAGTTATTGATTATTTAAATGAAACTGTTTTCCCAGTTCTTAACCGCGGGTTAATAAAAATGCTTGAAAAAGTAAAGGAGCAAGAAAGCGAAATTTTTACAGTAAAAATACATTACATTGTTATCTTGCACTACCTTTATTTTTTAGGAAGGTGACACTTATCTTAATAGTCTTAATTTTATTGCAGAATATCTCTGGAACATGAATCCTAGACATCCAGAAAGAAAAGAAAACTGGACACAAATTACTAACATCTTTGGAAATAAATAGTTAATTACTACATTGTTGAAGTTTTACGTTTTTGTAAAGACTTATATTAGGCAGTTCTTGTATGTTTGCTTGAAAAGTAACAGTAGGTGTTTCTCCCTCTTCTGCAACCCTGTATTTTCCCGTTTTAGTTTTGTGATAAACTATCTCCAATTTCAAATCCTGCACATCCTCTCCTTTAGCTCTATTTTCTCGCATCAACACGTCTTTCATCAATGGTGGAAATTCCATAGTTCTTTGTAGAATGGCAATTTCGCGCTTTGTTTCTACTATCGTGCTATAATTATGCTCCTCATCCTTTGGTATTAACTGATAATCTGCTTTATAACTGGTTGATTCGATTGTAATAGGTTTTGGGTAAGTTACTCCCCTAAATGTTTTCTCAACCAGAACACGAACTTTACGTTGGTCCTTAAAACAAGGATTATTTTAAGTGACCTAAAAAAAGAGGTATACTTACATCCAAAGTTTGTACTTTAGGACACGGCAAAGGCTCAACCTTTAATATCTTGAAAAAACTTGGCTCAGGATACCTCTCAAACGTGCTCCTTATAACTAAACGACCAATACCAAAGTTTTTCAAGTTTCCGACGATTTCCCACAAGGTTTTACCTTTAAAATTGGTTGTTTTACCGATGTATTTATAAGGCATTTTACGTTTTTTCAAGTTTCACAAGATTTTAGGTTAGAGATGGAAAAAAGCGAGGTTAGGAATAGCGCCAAATTTAAACTCCACAATACTATTACAGAACTTCTTAAAAAATAATAGGGTAAATATTTTGTTAAAACAAATTCACATTTACAACAATAATTAACATTTCTTAAAAAAGCTCATCAACGTTGGTTGTTTTCCACTGATTGGTTTCTTATTCTTCCCTTTTGTTGTAGTTGTTTTTTCAAGCTCTGGCTTTTCTGACAAAACCTTGGGTTTTTGTTGAAATTCCTTTTTAGGTATTTCTTTTTCGTCTTCCGAGGCACTTTCATAAATATATTCAACAGATGTAACTGAAAAAAAATCATGAAAGATGTAAATAACATAAAAACCACACTACCTATAAAACCTTCCTCATCAACGTAAGTTTTATCAACAGCCCTCCTCTTTTTATTTTTTGGAACTGGTGTTGCTTTTGTAACAGGAATCTCTACAGGTTCTTCATCAGATCCGTCAATAATATTTTCACGTTCATCATCTTCAAATATATCTAAAATTGAAGGAACAATAATGTAAAAAGAAGTAGATTATGACAATTTATTTATTACCACTACCGCTATCTGAGTCGCAAATTTCCTGTATCCTTTTCCTCTTCTTACTAGGAAGGTCATTTTTGTTGCTCTTTTTCCTTTTCTTATTACTTTGATTTTGTACCTTCTGCGCGACTGGCTTTTCCACTTCAATATCTACATCCATTTTTTCATTACTCTCAGTATTTTCTTCTGAAGATTTTTTAATAAATGCAGCTGCACCAGCTTTAGTTTCATCTTCATTCTTCTTTTCATCGCTTTTTGCTTTAATGTCTTTCTCTGACTTAGTAGGAGCTTTTGCAAAGAAACTTGCAATTCCTCCATTCTGTTTAGGTTTAACAGAACTGACTTTACTTTGTTTTTGTGAGGACTGTGACGGTTCTTTACCACTTTCTTTCAAATTTACTTCAGTCGCTGGTTTTGGCTGAGACCCAACCTTTTTGAAGAATGATCCTTTTTCCTTGATATTTGTTGATGGTGGAGGTGGCAGAGTTTTCACCTTAACATTCCTTTTAACACAATTTTTACTAACCAAGCAACCGGCACTGAAAATAGTTCTTTAGTAGAAAACAAAATATAAATAAAACCTACAAATTGTCGTTGCAGGTGTTTGTTAAAGCTATCATGTTGTAATCAATTTGTTTTGCCTTCTGAACACTGTAAATAACTTCTGATGAAATATTCTTAAACAGATCCCTCTTTTCCTGTAAATCTTCATCTTTGACAAGATAAATCACTGAACCTTTATTATCCTTTAAAGAACCACAAAGTAAATAAGTGGAATGCAGTTCTCCCAATTTTAATTTAGAAGAATCTTCAAAAAATTGTTTCAAAAGTGTAGTGGCTTCACTCAGGGATATTTTAAGGTCATTTGCAATTAAAGCAGAAGTTACCTAAAAATCACAAGGATATTAAAAGGAACAAAGCGAAAGATGAAATTCTCACAAGCTTTTCTTCATCGTGGACCAACTCGACTATTCGATTTTGATGAGAATCTTCTATAGAATCCATTTTAATTTTACGCAAATTTGCAAAAAAGTGGAAATTGTTTACTTTACACTTGTAGTAAAATTTATACAAAATTATGACAACAAATATCATTAAATGCGCGCCATAATTCTGCCACAAGAAACATAACCTAAACCACTGATTCCTATACTGTCATAACTTGCGTTCGAAATTTATCGCACGCTATTATCGTAGCGACCGATTGAACATCAACTCGAAAAATATACTTATTTTTTAAAATTTAACACCTCAATACAATTTGAAATGCAACGTAGACAACGTACTACTAATAAGGCCCCTTCAGAACTCTTTGTTTTTTTTTTTAATGATTTTGCCCTGTTATTAAAGGTCTATTTAAAATTTAAAAGCAGATATTTCAAGGATTCCGTCCTGTTTTTATAAGGTAGCATGCTATACAAACTCATGTATCATGTATAGATGCGTCTGTTCAGCATACGTTCAAATTTAAGGATTATAGAAATCAACCCATTGAACAAAATTTTAATAAAACATTAAACATATTTAAGGCCCCTTTAGAACACTTTATTTTTTTAAGCATTTTCTATTCCTACCTGCATAATCTCTAGTGCAATATTCTTACGGCTTAGTGTGGTCAGGTCAGTCCTTGGCCGGTCAAAAAAACTGGTAGTTTACTCAAAAAAAAATATTCAAAAAAAACCGTATAGTACAATAAAATTAGCCCAATAAAAAACAGGACAAAAATGCGAATTTTTTTTTCCCTTTCAGGTACACACTTTAATGTATTTAAAATACCGTACAGGTACAGCTATTTACTGGATTTTAAAAATAATCATTTTTCAAGTTGTTTTAAAAAATAGGTATTAAAATAGCACTAACGAGTTTTTCATCGGTCAATGACCAATTATTTTAGATTTCAAATTTTTTTACTTTCTCCGGTAATAATTAACTTCATGAACCCCTCGTACATTTTAGATAATTTTAAAGCATTCTTAATATGAAGTAGTCATTGTCTATTATTTATTTAGTGACATAATAGGCATTTAAAAAAATAAATTAAGAAAATAAAATAGTATTATAATGAACAAAGAAAAATAACAACAAATAATAAAAACAAAAGCAAACTAAATAATACGTACGAAAGGTAACAAAAGTTATATTTTTTGTAATAATACGGTTGAAAGCAATTTTTCTGTTTGCTTTAACAACACTCTACAAGTTACACACTACCAGTTACTTCGAAACTCTTGTTGTTTGTAGCTACATAATGCAAGTATCAACGAAATAGAAAAAAATTCAGTGCCACCATTTATGACTTGTTCAATTGAGTACAATGACGGACAGTGAATTTTGTCCAACCAATTTCCATGACAGACTAAAAGTGTAAATTAGTCTTCAGGTTTTTCTAACTTTGTTTGAGAATTTTGATGAACATTTGACAAAATGCCCGATATTCCTTACATACTTTTTACCTGTACTTTGTCTTACATTGCTTGAGATGTAGTACCAATCCATTTTTAGATTGGAAATCCGGTCCAAAATGAATAAGAATTTAATTAAACTTGACAGTGTCAGTTATCATGACAATAAAGCACAGGCTACAGTGAATTTTTGTGAATTCACAGAAATTAAGTGGACGAAATGCACTGTCCATCACTGTACGTCATCAACTGATCAAATTTATCAACAAAGATCATGTTATTCTTGTAATTTTCCACAACATCAGGACATACCCCTCATATCTCAAAAAACTAAGAATAATACGAAATACAGTTAGTAAAAATGCAAACTTTTAATGTTAAACGAAATTGATTACCTAAATAGGCTGGAAATGCTCAATGCCGTCCGTCATGAAGCCTATTAGTCGAAATAAGAAAGTTTTTGCTTGATAAACCCAAGGATCGAAATTCTAATCCCAATGAAAGAAATTTTTTTGTTTTGTTTTTTTCTTCTTTGTATTTATAATAATCATTATCCATTATGTGTATATTCTCAAAAAACAATTCAATGTTTTTAAGTTAAAATAAGTATCATAAAAATGTAGGTATTTCAAATAATTAATAAATTGTATAGTTTTCATAATAATTTTAAGTTCATTTATTGTAAATAAAAAAATGTGGTAAACTCTTCAAGAATAATGTCTGTATTATTAAAAATATTACCATTAATGAGCAAAACTGCTCAAAAATATAAATTAAGGTGAGTTAAAAAGGTGGGTTAAATTTCAACCCACCGTACCGATTCGGCCAAAAATGTGGTGGGTTAAATTTTAACCCACCGTCCCTCAAAGAGTTAAACAAAGGTATGTACTTTGAAAAACGGGGTAGATAATAAAAAAATAGTGTGTGCTAAACAAGCCCATATAGTTTTGCTTTTTTAAACAAACTGAAAACAATGTCAAAATGCTTAAAAAACAAAGTGTTCTAAAGAGGCCTTATATGTTTAATTTTTTATTAAAATTTTGTTCAATGGGTTGATTTCTAGAATCATTAAATTTGAACTGTTGTGCTGAACAGACCCATCTACATGAGTTTGTATAGCATGCCTTCTACCTTATAAAAACAGAACAGAATCCTTGAAATATCTGCTTTTAAATAGTCCTTTAAAAACAGGGCAAAATCATTAAAAAAACAAAGAGTTCTGAAGGGGTAGTAATCTTAAGATAAAAAAAACAGATCAAGAAAAATTTTGAAAAACATGGTTTAATTTATAAAAATAGTTAAGTCCCACCTTGTGCAAAAAATAAAAAAATAATAATTTTAGACCCATACCTTGAAAACATACTCGATCTGCTTTTATTCTGTTCAAAAAGAGTAAAAAGCATCACTTATAAATGCTACACTATAATTGATTAACCCGTTTTTACGTAAAATGCGCATGATGGGAATTGATTGAATCTCGTTTCTTTTTATTATAATCTAATCACTTGTAGTGGAATAAAAGAAACTGTACACACCCCATTATCTTTTAGTCAGCCGTTATAAAATATCGAGCGGAAAGATCTTAGAATTTATAATATGTAAGCAGTTGCTTTTTTAACTGTACGAGTATATAAATAAAAAAGTGCAACATTAAAAAATATACTAATAAATTAAGTCATAATTGTTAAGCTATTAATAAGATAACTTTACAGGAAAACATTTCAATTATGCATGTAAATCTGTTCATACAAAAAATGAAGTCCAGTTAAATACAATATGTATAAAATGTAGGTTAAAAAAAGTTAATCAATAATCATAGTTGAAGCGATAATAGTATAAAAAAAAAATAAAAGTTTTAATACTTATCTAAAACTGTCTTTTTGACTTGCAAGATTTTGAAAGCTTTAACAGCCCTGACAAAAATTTTTGTCAGGGGGCGAAACATAAGAAAATACCAATACTGTAAATGACTGATTTTTATTTTCGAGTTGGCATCACATTCAAAATATTAATGAGGACCTTAAATTTTTAATGTGAATTTCTAAAATATGCCCAAAAAAATTTAACACACTTAGCAGATTGACTGAAACATGAAAATAAGAATCAATACATTTTACATGTCACGGAACAATGAATAATATGCCATTTGAACATCTTATTACTGTTATTCCAGTGCGCAACATGATAAATACTACTAAAAGAAAAGTCAGTTATTTGAACCGAACGAATAAGAAGAAAATAAAATGATAAATAATGAAACCACAAAATCACACGAACAGTTTGTTACTGAATTAGGTCAAGTTTGAATTGCTTTTAAAGAATCCTGTTAATCAAATGGATTCAGAAAGAGGTAAATGTGTCTCACCTGAAACAATTCCTGAAATAAAAGAAAATGTATTTGAAACAAAAGCCCATTCTGTTATGTATTACCTATTATTTCCATTATTGTAAGTATGAATTATGAATACATATTTTATTGCGAGTAGGTATTGGAACCACCATTTTTTATATTTCTCTCACTAATTTAACGCTACAACCACAAAATTGGGAGACATATACAGTTAATTTCAAGTATTCTCAATAATACGTGGATATGTAGGTCATCTGGAAGTCATTTTATGCTTGGCAAATTTTCTGACTTTGTGCCATCCAAATTTGCATTGTCTTTAACAATTGTCTTATCGAACTTATGTTTAATTGTTTACATCTGATAAAAAATATACAGTTAACGAAGTCGAGCGAACGGTGCAGTTTGCAACAAAAATGCCTTGAGCCTCCTTTCTTTCAAACAAAACTGTGTCGAAAAGTATAACTTGATACACGTCCCATTGTAGATCATGAAGTAATTGCATAATAAATGACCAAAGATAAGTCGAGACAGTTCCGCATTAGGTAACTGGGTTACCCTAATGAATGCACGTGAAAATTATATTATGCAAATATCCACTTAGCACAGAATTCAGTTTTTAGGTATCGTCACTGCGGATGCAATTAAACAAAGACATGCATAAACCAGTTAATTTAAAACAAAAATGGTAATACCGATGTTTTCCGCTTCGCTTACTATTGGATTAGGTCAGATTATGTCAGTGTTTTTGTCGCTTCATTACTGCAATAAGAATCATTATTCATTCAACGACTTGTCTATTAATGAAAAATATTGTCGCACTAAGTACTCCAGTTACTTAAACTGGACTGAATGATACACGCAGATGGCTTTTATGGAGATGTAACAGTGGTATTTTTATCACCCAGTCAAGGGAAACCAAAAAGTTAATTTACTTTGCTACTTTATTGCAGTTAAGTGTTTCTGTAAATAAGCTACAAAGATCAAAACAAACTACTCATTTATGTCATTTATGTATGTACACACATTTAAGTGTGTGTGCTTGACGGCTTTTATTGCAATATAAAATTTCAATTTCTCATTTAACGTCTCGTCATATTTCATCATACTTTTTTGGCCTCATAGCTTAAATGATTTTCTTATTGGATGCTCTTACTTGCATTGAAAAATATCTTTAACTTGTAAAAATCTTACATTTTTCTGTTTGATAATCTGTCACCGTTACCTATATGTCTTATTTTTTTTTAATTCTTCATCCACTTATTTAGTTTCAATTTGTATAATTACATTGTCAAATTTTAATGTTTTTGTAATTTACTTGTCTCTAAAATGTAAAATATTTTGATTTAGTTGTTGAATTCTACACAAAAAACATCAACCTCGTCATATACAAACAAAAAAAGGAACAATGGTACATGAACTAGAAAAATATTAAAAGTAAAAGGATAACAAATACAATTAAAATTAACTACGAGTACATAAAATATGTAGTTTAAACAGTTTGAAAGAAAAGCATCGTAAACTGCATTTTACAACTAAGTAATGTCATATTTGTATAAAAATTCTAGTCGATCACATCATTAAATATAGGATAATGACGCCAATAACGGAAAACTAAGTATATTACGAGACTTAATACATATTTGCAAATGTGGGACGTGACTCTAAAATTATGTGTAAATTTTAAGAAATAATTAAGACTAAATTATTAAAGTAATTAAACAAACTGAAAATATTAAATTAAAGTAATCAATATTGTCTAATTTTCTAAAATATTAAACACCGAAATAGGTACTTATAAGTATGTACATTTTTATATCCTTTATCGAAGATTAAACGCCTCAGTGGTCCTATCATATACAAGATCAGATAATCGAAATTATAAATGATGACATAACATTCAAATATAAAAATTTAATAAAAATCTTTAAATAAAATAAATTGTTGTCAGTAGTTCTTCCGATTATAAATTGGGTTTTTTAAAAATTGTGAAAATAAATGCTTTCGGGCAATTTAATGTTTGTGTTAAATCACTCCAACATCCAAAACGCAAGAAGACAATTGTGTATTGATTTTTAGTGATTTTAAAGTTAAATTTTAATTTCGTTTTAAAAAAATTTTCAAAACATTATAGTCTCTAGCACATTTTTAGAAATTAATAAAAAGAACTTTATTAAAAGTTTCTAGATATTGGTTTTTAGAAAAGTCAATCAATAATAAAATAATATAAATCATAATAATAAAATATGCAAGTTTGCACTTTTTGATAGAAACTGTCCTATAAATAAATAAATTATAGAATAAAACTTTTGCTGAAAAGCAGGCGAGAGAAGGTTCATACATACATAATAGATTTGCATTACTATTTATTATAATTAAAAAATTGATGAACAACTTATTTAATTTTTGTCAGTTAATTTTCCAATAATAAACTAGTAATTTTCATAACTATTCGAGTATTCGTAATGCAATTTCTAATGCGCATGTGGCATGTCTTAAATATTTTCAGACAGCTTATTCCTAATCGCATTATCATACAAATTATTATTGAAAATTATTATAGAATGTTATAGATTCTATTTGATGATAAATCATCGTGTGCATGTAAGTGTCAAATCCAGACAGACGTTTCTGCTTCAGTTGCTAATTTACTTATTAAATAATCCGAAGACCGAACAATAATTATCAGAGCAACTTCACATAATTACATATTAAAATAAGCATGCTACTTCAATGAGTATGTTAATTTCGCACTTTTTACATAAATATCTATCGTAATTGTTTTAACTGTATATTGATCTACATTATTCCAAAATAAATTTGCAACAACTGCATTGATTAGCACCAGTTCTAATTAAAAAACAAGATCCTGGTAATATCAAACTGTTACAAAAGGCTCAAAAAATTTAATCACCCACTTCCAGTCAAATATAGTTTTTGATTAAATTTGAATACGTAAAAGATAAGGTATGTTAAATATAATAATTAAATTTAAATATTTTATGTTGTCTTGATTATTACCTTTTAGCACTTTATACATTATTGTTTAAAACAATGTGCCGTGAAAACGAAAGTTAATAAAAAACAACGAGTCAGAATTTAAAATATTTCACAATGCTCCATTTTCTTGAATTTTTTACGAGAAAAATACACAATGACTTAATTATGATAATTATTATGAGTTCATACATCTTCACCAAAATGTACATAATTCTGATTTATAATAAAGGTTAATTAAGAGTATGAATATCTACCGTAATTTAAAGTAAGTGAACAAGTCATGCACTTTTTATGAGTTTTGCTTTCCCAACGGTAAATCTACTCTTACTATTTGTATCCTTACATCATGTCATCACGAAAAGTTGATGATCTCTGTTTTGTATCATCTATTCACTTGTTGTACTCAGAAATAAACAAAATAATAGAATAAAGAACCCAAATGAAGAGAAAGGGGCTTTATTTTATTAGTTTATAAAAGATCAAATGGAAAAGTGAAGGGCAGAGTGTGTAAGTTCGTTCAGAAATTGTTGACATAATTATTGTATAATAATGGTTTTTTAATTTCACACTTAACTGTTTTTTAAATTTTATTGCTTGCATGCAAAAATAAAAAATCGAATATTGCATGTAAAGCTGTAAATTTTTTTCTAAGAATAATAAGTGTTCATTGACTAGGAGTTTATTTCTGCCTCAATAAATTTAAGCAGAACAAAGTGATGTGCAAATTTTTGAATAAATTAATTAAGGAAATAATTTTATATCGATATCATAATAATTTGACTCATTATGATTTGGGATTGGATGTTGCAACATGCAACATTTAAAAACTAATTACTGTATTCAAGAAATTAAGTGCTTTTCTTCTATACTTAAAAAAATATTTATTCACATTAATAAAAGAGCAATTGTGCAATATAGTAAGTAATAACGGTGTCAATTTCTTGCAACAGTTTATAACGTTGTTACGGTGATAAAACAAATTGCTTATTTGCTCTCGAAGTGCTTTCCGATGGCTTTATCTGCTTTGTTAACAGTTCCTTGCAGCATTTTGCAAAAAGATCAATAAAAAACCGTTTATTTTCAGTGTACTGCAAGTGTAACGAGTGACACGCTAACCCGAAAAATTTACACATTATTTCAGGAACGGTTTTACAATTCTCACAATTTAGCTGAACCGAGCTGCGTTTACTGTCATTTTGGAGCTACTGTATTAAAAAGACGTAATTATCTGTAATAATAAAACATAATTTTGTTTATAAATTATGTGAATATAAAAATTACTCTATTCTTTTAATAAAGTCGTTACCAAAAAGATTTTTTGATTAGCGAGAAAATTGCGGTAAATTAGTGTCACTAATGGTTCTGAAAGGTGGATAACTGTCGACAGGAGATTTCCGAGAGTTGTCATTGCACGAAAATATCTTATTTATTTTTTAGCCACATACTTGTGCCAAATTATCCAAAAAAACTGAAGTAATCTTCATTTAATTCAGCAGCAGCTCGTCAAAAGTAAGTGGCTGGAGATTGTAAAGTGGAAGACATGAAAGCATGCAGTAGGTCGCGGTGTCATTCGTTAAATTTCTCACACTTTTTTAACTTTTTTATTATGTATATCACAATACTCGACATCCTTATCATATAACAGTTGCGAGATGAGTTGTAATTAAAAATAAAAATGTTTGTATTAATTTATACATTTACGATTTTTTTTACTTACATATTTGTAGAAAAACTGCTAAAATGTGATTAACATATTATATCTACTCGTAAATATGATTTGCATGCAAATAAGCCACTATTATTTTAAAATCATTTGTATAAAAATTACTCGTAACTTTAATAATGGTGGTAACTAATAAAATAATTCATTTCCATCATTCATTTTCTACAGAGAAAGCTTTATGCGGGTGAATGTATTTTATTGCAAATTTATCGTAGTTGCTGTTTAATAAATATTCAATATTTATGCTTTGATAAAATCTCGTCATTTTTTTAACAAATCAGGATTAATTATACAGTATGTCCCCGGATTGAGTTTACAAGAGGAAAAAAAATCTTTGTTTTTCACCAAAAAAACATTTTTTGCTTGACGTAAAACGCGCAATTCTAAAATTAAAACTTCATTATTCTAACTCAGTGCAAAGAAAAGTTGATTTTTCTCTTGATTTTGGACTTGTAATAGGTAATTTTTCTCTGCGTTTTAATTAAATTCCATCAGATTGGCGGTTTTATTTTTTTGACAACGATGTCACTTTGACAAATAAGTTTACGCAAGTTAAATAACAAAAATGTTTCTGAAAAACATAATTTTAATAAATAGCAACTCAAAGAAATAGTCATTTTAACAAGAACAACCATCATTATTTAATTCATGAATTAATTGTCAAAGTGACATTGTATAGTTGTCAAATAAATAAAATCGCCAATGTGATGGAATTTAATTAAAACGCAGAGAAAAATATTACAAGTCCAAAATCAAGAGAAAATTTAACTTAATAATAAAGTTTTAATTAAGTACAGATTTGCTCGTTTCAGGTGAAGTAAAAAATGTTTATTCTTTGCAGTTTTGGCGTAAAATCAGAGATAAAAAAAAATTTCCTCTTGTAATTCAATTCGGGAACATACTGCAGATTTATTGTCTGAATATTATATTTTTTAGCCAATTTTCTCTATTAAAGATTGTAACGGTTTTACTTCGTTATTTTTATTTAAAACGTCCTAAATCTAGTTACAAAATAGCTTCGCTGGTATGGGAGGCGTTTGGGTCCCATAAACGCTTGGGTACTACTGTCATTGACTTAACATCCGTGTCAACCTAAATTCGCCGGTCTAGGGGGCGTCAGAGGGCCCTAGAGATGCTTGGGGACTGTAAGATCGTTGATGCAACCTCATCTAGTACTCAACTAAAAAGACCAAAACATAATAGAATACCGTATCGTGTTTACCTTACCTGCTCCCGTCATTTGAGTTTTAGAGTCATTTCCCGTTTTGTTCTTGTCGTACCGCTAGCCCCAATTTTGGAGGGAGTTGGATCAGGCTTGTTTCCTCTCTATTTTCCGAGTTAGTTGTGTTGTCTGGCTGTGAAGGGGCTAAAAGGAGTGGGTAGCCCCGGAGTATTTCATACCGTCCCTCCGGAGAAGTCCGGGCATCTTCTCCGGGTAATTTTAGTGCTCATGTTCCTCTTGTGTTGTCGTACCGAGTTGTAGGGTGCCTCGGTACGGTTTAAAAGCCCTCTTGTCCTTTTATGTGTTGTGCAAAATGTCTTAAGAGCACAAACCCTTTAACTTCCCTCTTCCTTTGATTAGAAAATCGTTCTTACTTACCTTCCTATTACCTAACTATCGGCGCAATATCGGTCTTTTCGCACAAAGGCACAATTTCAAAATGTAAACAAACTTAACCTCTTCACCTGTCGTAAAACGTCAATTTCGCATGCAGCTTCAAAAGAACTAGACGTGCGCGCTCTCAGAAGATAGCGAGAAAATCAAAATTTTCACCTTTTTATACACGGTCCGATATTGACTATATTTCGCGCCCTGAATCGATAGCTCTGATTGGTTTGCATACGTGACTGACCATTTCAAGCAATTTCCGGGGAGAAAGCCTCTCGCTTGGTGGTTGCAGTGAAATCCTATCTAAAGGCATCCCTTTTGGAAATTTGGGAAAATTAAAATTACCTGAACCAGGTGCCTCTAAATCCGAGGAGCTACATATCGTAACGTTTAGTTTCTGAATTTCCTCGGAGTTTTCGTAGAAATTAGTACCTACCACTGCCAGCCTGCCACGTGCTTAGGAAACTTGCGAGAAAGGGTAAAAGAGCAATAATTTTTCATTCAYTATTTCAATAATATATTCCAGAGCTACCGTTTCCGYCTCGTATTATTTAATATCYCGATTATTRTCCCGRCACGAACCCCRTACTTTTTYTTCAAGTACCGACCATCCCTCGCTGAGGTAATATAAAATCTGTACATCTTACGGTATACTAATTATTCTCTCGTATGAATCAGGGACGCAAGTAAGGGGGAAATTTTCCTGTCTTTACGGAGGCCAAAGAGAGACCTATCGCTCCGCATTCTGTACCTGTTGTCTCCGCCGCCTCCTTCTATCAAGTTCAGATAAGTTTAGGCTTAAGTTCGACGATTCGTTATTAAATATCTCTTAAATTTAATTTCATTAATATCTTCTTCATACATTTTTTAATCATTTTAATACACTACAATTTATTTTCATTAAACTAGAATTTTCAATTTAATTTTACTTTCACAACTGTAAGGGATATAGCGCTATATTTCGTTTATTTTTTGAATCTAAACTTAATTTTAATTTATCAAATTATATTTTATTTTTTTAATACAGGGTGATAGACCGACAAAATTTTATCCTTGGTAGTATCACATGAGAACATGCTGGAAAAAATATTGAAAAAATTCTTTGTTTAATCGTGCTCCAAATAAAATTTATTAAAGTTATTTTAGAGATAAAGCGTACGCCACTGATGTGTTCGTAAATAGTATTAGCACAGGTAGTGGAAACCATGGTATTAATTTGATCAAAATGTACTTGATCATTGCAACAATTCATAAACGCCGTAAGTGGCACGGATCAAGGGGGTTCTGCCCCTAAAAAATATCGACGTAAAAAAGGTACTGATTATTTCCATTTATGCTTGGAAAGCTGTGATAAAATTTTGTCGGTCTATTTAAGAATCACCCTGTATATCCCTTAATTTATTATTTTATTTTGTTGGCTGAGTGCTACGTTCCCAGTCACGTGGTACTAGAGGCCCATTATTCGACTGGGTGGCGCCCATAAAGAAAAACCCCACGATCAGCTCTCCTCCGAGATACAGGCTGCCAAGGTATTACCTATTTTATAAAAAAAAAGAGAAATAGGTAACAAGATAATGTATGCAAATAAAAAAAAATATGTAAATGTAAAAGATCAATTGTGTTTTATTTTATTTATTTCAATAACACTTTCGACTCTCGATTATCCGGTTAATTATTCCGGTTAATCGAAATTCCGAATAATACAAAGGTTTTGAAAGAAATTTTTTAAAAGCAAATAAGAAACACGAAAATCATTTTATATTAGACTTAAAATTGACAACATTGAAGATTGTTTAAGCAATCCTAAACGCTGACATCATAGTAAATATATTTCTTTGAGCTCAAATATGTTAAAAATTTATATTTATAATACGTATAAAAAATATGTATTACTTTTGGAATTTATCTAAAGCCAAGAAATGCACTATTTACAACAGAAAAAATATAAAACTGACAAAATTTTTAAAGATTTGTTATAAGAAATATTTTATAACCTTGAATAAGTACACATAATAATTATTAATTAAGTAAACAAACGTTTACTTGACGACCCTTTTGAATCACACTGTAATTCAAAAAGGTTGTCGCTTATGAGGATATTGAAACATTAATAAAAGCGCAGATATGCTTTTATAATTTTTTCGATGTATGCTTTTCTAAATATGAACTTTTGAAAATAGCATAAATACTTATTAGGCTGCAGTACACTTTGTGTAATCGAAGACAAGTTGAATACAACATTTTATTCTTCGAATTAGACTCAACAAGGTTTTTGTATTGAGAAATGGCAAACAGTTTCCAAATTTCCTTACACAGAAGAAAAACCGTAAATTTTGAGTGTTGAAAATAAACTAATTGAAAGTGGATGTCTTGAAGCAAATTTTCAAAATAAGTTAAAAAACATTTGTGACCTAATTTTGGCCTTTAAATTATTCAATTTTTACTAGACAAAATGTTGAAAACTGTAGATGTCTCTACAATATATGAAATATTTGTTGTCTAATAGGATGAGTAATTGTAGAAACAGAGCATAGGCTGTAAACAATTGCTTTGAAAGACAAAAATTGATGAAACTATTGTCGTGTCACACCTTTATTACTTCGTCATTCTTTAGATGAATAGTTTTTATAGTTATGTACCTACAGTGTAAAGAAACAATGGTATAGTTAATAAGAATTGTAAAAATTTTCAGTAAAAGATAAAAAAATCCTTTACCTCCTTTCAAATAACCCAGTTCTTTAACAGTTATTCACTTTAGCCTTTGCTCGATCAGAAGAAAATCGATAAACATTTAGATCCTTTTAATCATTTGTAACGACCTAGTTGACCGTCCTCGAAATTTGTGGTTAAATAACTGGGAGCTGTCTATTAAAGTATTGATTCGGCAAATGAAAGATGCAAACATCGAAAACCTTTTAACAATTTTAAATCAAAACAAAAATTTGAGGACAGCTTTGGAAGCACCAACGAGTTTTAAAAGGTACTTCAATTTGGACAAGAAGTTTTTTACTCGACGCGTTCTTCACCTAATTTTAAAGTAGGTTTAACTGGGATTTGGCAAAAACAAAGAAATCGTTGTTTTTGGCGCAGAGGGCGTAACTGGACCTTCACAAACAAACGGAGGAACTGTATAGTGGAGTACGTAACAGTACTGAAGACTTGGTTCTTGTAGCGTAGCGGGGCGGAACAGAACTCTAGCAAACACGCGGAACTACTGTTCGTCTCAGTTATTGCATGTCTTTGAACAGGTAGCTGTTTAATAAGTTCACGATCGCGAATTCATTCATTACATCCTTAAGACTACTATCGACTTTTCACACGCATTGGTTAGAGCGTTGTTCAGTTTGAGCTGTTGATTGACTACTGCCACTGTCTAGTGAGGAACTATCCGGTGTAGTGTTTAGTGATAGAAAATGCAAGACATTGAAAGGCATTTTCAAACTAGGATTACTACGTTATTTGTGCTTTTAATACAAATTGTAAGTGCTAATAGGCTGATGCCCATGATTTTAATTTTGCCAATTACTAACAAAAATTTAATTATGTGTTATAAAATTTATTTTTGTTGGAAGGAATAAACATGTCTTTTCTTATAGTATGAAATGAACCAGCAGATTAATGAATAATGATGTTACAACAAGTTCTTTAAACTGACATAAAAAACAACAAAAATGTTTAAGGAAAATTGGAGAAGAATACAAAAAACATAGTCTACATTCAAATTTAAGCATAAACAATAACAACTCAATAACAAAATTGTGTTTAAAAATTCTTGTAGAAAATTTGAGATGGCAACTGAAAATGTTATTAAATTAGTAGGTACAGTAAGTAGTTTTATGAGTTAATGGATTAATGTGCGTCGTACAAAAGTAACAGGAAGGGCATTTTTTAAAGAAAATTAATCAACAAATCCAAAACAACAACAAAAAACGTTTTTTAAAGTAAAATTTTCTACCAGTTTTTGAAATACCAGCTCGAAAAAAAAACTTTTTGTTGGCCATTTTAAAAAAGCCTCAGCTCCTTTAAAAAGCATTTCCGAACAGACACCCATAGAAACTTTTTACAATGACCTGAAAAATATTTTAATGTTTTTTCCGGACAGTCTGTATACAGTATGTCCCCGGATTGAGTTTACAAGATTTATCTTTGATTTTACGCCAAAACTGCAAAGGCAAAACATTTTTTGCTTTACCTGAAACGAGCAAATCTGTAAATAAAACTTCATTATTCTAACTCAGTAGAAAAAAAAGTTGATTCTTCTCTTGATTTTGGATTAACTGGAATAATTTTTCTCTGCTTTTCAAATCCTATCACATTTATGTTTTATGTTTTTGACAATGATGTCACATTTACAAATGAATTTACGCAAGATAAATAACAAAAATGTTTGTGAAAAATATAATTTTAATAAACGGCAATTTAAAAAAAAACAGCTTTAAGATAAGAAACAAAGTCATTTTTAACAAGAACTATCATTATTTAATTAATAAATTAATTGTCAAAGTGACATATAGTTGTCAAACAAATAAAACCACCAATTGGATATGACCTAAAAAGCAGAGAAAAAATTATTTCAAGTCTAAAATCAAAAGAAAAATTAATTTTTCTTTTCACTGAATTAGAGTAATAAAGTTTTAATACAAGATTTGCTCCTTTCAGGTGAAGCAAAAAATGTTTTGCCTTTGCAGTTTTGGCGTAAAATAAAAGATAAAAAATTTTTCCTCTTGTAAACCCAATCCGAGGACATACTGTATATTTTTTTAGAGTGTCAATAATGCTGACTTTGGAAACGACGAAGTGTGATGTCACTATTTAAAGTATAACGCTGTAAGTATTCAATTTTAGACCATCTTCAAAACATTCTTTAAAAAAATAGGTAATTAAAAATTCATTAGTGGCAGACTGCTGTTATTTACCAGAATATAAATGTGTCATTTACTAAAATACCAAATTAGAATATTTTTTTAATTCTAATAATTTTTTGAGGTAATTAAAAAAAAATAATTAATTTAATTTACATTTGAAATAGAAAGGGTAATTTTGTACATGGTTACTGTCCTAATCCATAAAATCTAAAAAATCACCAATTTTCGTTAGTTTAATTTATTAATTACTGAGTGATCCATTTTTGTGAGAGATTTTTTGGTTATAATAAAGGGAAAAAATATTTTCTTATTATTACACTAAATGTTTCGGCTATTTTTAGAAAATAAATTTTGTTTTCATAAAATGATGACATGAATTAAACAATATTACCTGAAGATGGCTATCTAAAAATAGCCGAAACATGTAGCAAGTGTAACAATCTTTGAAAGAACATAATTTATTAATTATTTTTTTTTTAGAAATAACAATAATTTTGATACATTGTAACATTGTAATCATTAATATTTATTAAAAATGAAGTAGTACCACTAGTAGTATATTAATCTTTATTTATTCAATGTAAGCATTTAACATTGTAAACAAACCATTGAGAATTGGTTCTTGTAGAAAACTGTAGTGGTAAAATTACTGATTGTATTTCTGGTTTTTTAATTGTTTCATTAATACTACTTACGAGTATGAGCGAAGATATAAGGAAGAAAAATTCGAATTACATGTAGAATATCCTTTCCATGTAGTACCATTGTTCATTTAGGTCATATAAGAACTACAGACCGTATACCTATTATTCTCAAACATAGTTCTTCTAGTTCATATTCTGCTGCAAATTTTATGTAAATGTGTTTTTTGTTTAAAAAGCTTTTTGTGTAAAAGCAGTCTAGAATAAGTTTAATGAAGTCACGTTACAGTTTTAAACGTTGTAATTAGAATGCTTTAACGAATGCATGATGGCGTAGTAGAAACTGTTAAAAATGTTCATAAGATTCTTTCATTACCTGCAATTTCTTGAATTTAACAAATAACTAGCCACACACAGATGGGTGATAAACAAGATGAACACTTTCATTTACAACTACTTTCCACAAATCAGTACAAGCAATTTATTATAATTCTCCTAGATAGTTGTATGCACCTAGCACCTGTTTTCATTTTCATCGGTTAACTTCCTACTTCAAAGATTCTTCTTACTTTTATCTGTTATGCAATTACTTGAATAATAATGGATAATTATGTGATAATAGTGAACACGGTTTTCTACATCATAAACAGACAGGTGTATAAGCGTGTAAGAAGTTTCCATCAAATAGTTTCTTTAATCGATCAGTTGCAACTGATAAACTGTAAACTTTTACTGTTAAAATTGCACTACAACCTGACTGCAACTATCTAATTAAATAGTTAAAATACTTTTATAGGGACATAAGAACATAGGTGCACATAAGATAACATTAGTATTTAACAGTAATATTAAGTAGTGGTTAGTTCTACAAAATCAAACTTATTTTAGTAACAAAACACAAAACAATTTTTATATTGTTTTTGTTCCTGTCGAAAAATATTTTCATAAAACGGTAAAAATAATTACACCTAACGTTGGTCGAAATTTTCATAAGATATTGTCCGCACACAAAAGAAACATAATTGTTGCTAATTATTAAATAATTTTACCATCAGACAGGTGGTCTGATGGTAAGTAATAATTCACTTTTTGCAAGTCATCAAAGTTGGTAGTTTCACGCTTAGCTTTAGATAGTATTTAAAAGATTAGTACCCAATTTGTAGTTATTTGCATTTTAAACAAATGGGTATTATAATTTAAATTAATACTGAAAAAGTTATATGCAGGGTTTATCCGCATCTAGTAAATTAAAGGCATTTTATTAAAAATTCGGCTTCTTTAACTCATCATTGTTAAATTTGATTTCCAATCTTTAGCAGGTTATTAAAGTTTTATTTATTTATTGAATATGTTACATTCATGTAAAAACACAAATAAAACCCACAAAACCATCCAAAAATCTCGGTTTTTATTATTTTCATATATTTTTTTATTGTGAATGAAAGTATTTAAGGTCAGTAGTATAAGGGCCCCTATGCACACTGCGCACTTATAAGGAAAACACCCCGATTTTCAAGGCTTAACAAAAAAACAGAAAAAATCGTGAAAACACCGTCGTTTTTAAGGTATATTTTAAAATTAACATTTTTCAAAGATTTCGCCCTATTTTTCTATTGGGCTAATTGAGCACAAAAATGAATACGGTTTCAGATTAACAAATTCGGACAAGGACCTTATCAGCAAAGCGAGTTCACACCCCCTGTTTTTAAAGTAGGTATATGAATTATAAAATCACATAAGCTGTAATAGAAATGAATAACTAATACATATTTCAACAAATATTTGTCTTTATTACTTCAAAAGAGTCTCTTTACATCCAAAAGTTTCCTGAAACAAAATTCATCCTTAAACACTTGTATTAGGTACCTAGCCCTAGGTAACGTCCCACTATACATTAAAAAAAATAATAACAATTCTGCCCATTTCATAATCAAATTTAAAACCCTGTTTACCAACTGACAGCTAGAATGTAATAGTTGATAGGTATAACATCGAAATTCATATAATAACATTCTTATCAACAGTTGGCAAATTGATCATGAAAACCTTACTCTTGGAGATCCTCCTCCAACTTTAAATTAGCTAAATTTTCTTCCACCTTCAAATTAACAACAGAATCACATCTTTTAATTGACCTACTTGCTGTTTGGGATACTTTGCAAGCGCATCGGATGGAATATACTAATTCTATGAATGGGGGGTACATAACTCTAGTTTTCTCCACGATATCTGTATTATTCGGGTGGCCATTCATTATATTTCTTGCCAGCTGCTCGCCATCTATTTGATGAATTTGGTTCATATCGCGTCTATAGCGGACTTGCCAAGCACATTTCAGTTTGCCGCGCTTTCTGATGGGGATCACTTCATCGACCCACGCCCCTTCCGGGCACTGGCTTATGAATAATTTAGCGGCCGCGGCTTGCCTCACTGCCATATCGGCAAGGTCGTGATCATCACCCGGGCAATTAACGTGTATGTAAATTGGGAATGCTAAAACAATTCGGTTGAAATTTACTTTTGCTGGTTTATACACTCTTACCGTCGGCCATTGTGTCAATACCCACTATGGCGTCAAGGATGGTAAACTGATAGTTTATATAGTTTTATCATCCTTGCTATGGCGTTACCAAGACGTTACATTTAAACACCATGCTGCGCAAACTTCACAGATCAACTTAGATTGGCTTCCAGCTGGATGTATAAATGGTTGCATAGATAGCAAGTATTAATTCAATTATTAACCAGTTGTTTTTTTACTAGTTCCAAAACTAGAACCAAGTCAATCTAGAGACGGTGTTAAACCCAATTTATTTAATAAATTTTTCCATTTACATTATACAATAAATTATTCATTAGCTAGGAACAATAAAAAAGGATTAAAATCCAAACGGTATTGTACAGTTGAAGACAAAATACCTTGGTCGTCACTTTTCTGACACTTTAATGTAATTCAAGCTTTAACGTTAAAATGAATGACAATTTCAAATTAATGACAGCTATTGTATTTTCCTATCAAAAATATGTCCATATAACTTGTCAACTATGATTGACAGTAGCTAAAAATAAGGTTAACAGTCCTAAAGCATGCTTTACAATTTAATGTCACTCAAGTATTTTGTCTCCAACTGTATCAAAGTTTTCTAGAATAACTCTCTTGTCATAAACAAAACCAAATTCCTTTGTTTCTATTTTATTTAAAAGTTCTTTAATTTTAGTATCTCTGGTAATTCGATTATATTGTGTACTGACTTTACAGTCTTTGTTCGTCTTTGACTCTGGACCAGCTCTGCTGGACTTTTCTAAAATATTATTTATACTATCAGAATCGATCTTTTTGGATGTTTCATAGTTTAACGTAAATCCTTTTATTTTACAAACAACTCTACCTGTGTTGGTTTTATAACAATGACTTTTTGGGCCTGTTGATATCCAGTCTATAATCCAAACGCCTTTACCTAATGCGTTTGTCCAATCTCCCAATAGACAGCCTGTTTTAACAGTATTTTTTCCATCATCTATATATACAATACTAACTGTATCATAATATGCTACGCTTTTTCCTAATTTATCTAACATTTCGTATATTGCTATTGAAATCATTTTCTATATAGCAATCTTGAGATATAACTAAATTAGCGATGTGTTTGCCAGTTTCTTGCATCGCTTCATAATCAAAGAATAAATATTTTTCTGTATAGGTACAATTATTTGTATGCTTTCTAGAATCACAGTCAACACACACAAAAGGTTCTTCATCATCCAACGGATTTTTAACACAGGTTTTGCATTTCTTGCATTGATAAAGCCAATAGTTTTTGTTTTTAATTTTTTCTTTAGAGTATATTTTAGTACAACCTTTTTTGTTACAATTTTCACAGCCTTTTACTTTGTTTATTTTATCACCGTCTTTCATTGTTGTTTGACAGATTCCACCTTTTTGTTGTTTCCATTGCATATAACATTTATGTTTTAATATTTCAACTTCTTTATAACAATTTCGACATTTTTCCCATCCACATCTGTGTTCTTTACTACCCTCTTCTATCATTTTGTTACCTTTTTTACTCTTCTTGTTATTTCCTTCTTCAATTATTTTATTTCCTTCTTGAATCATTTTTTTACCTTCGGCAACCATTTTATCACCTCTTTTGAGTATTTTATTACACTTTAAACATTTATGAAATCTTTCACAAACTTCTGAATGATTTTCTAAACATTTTTGATTAAAGTAATATCTATTACATTTTTCACAATATATTCTTTTTGAAGAGTCTTCTTTGTGATTAGATTTGAAACACATCACGCATATTTTATCCTTCGTTTTGCATTTATGTCCGTCTTAATTTTGATATGGTTTATCACATTTTTCACAATAATAAGACTGACCGTAGAAACCTGTCATACTTTTGATTGTATCGAAATGATTTCCATTTTTATATAAATAAACTTTTACATCTTTTTCAAGTCCTGAATATATTATAGAATTAAAACATTCGGCTGCTACGATTTTTATTTGAATATTTAATAATCTTTCTATATTCGCAATATCATCTAAAGTAAAATAATTTCTATTATATTCCCCAAGTTGATTACATAGTTCTTGAGCTAAAGTATAGTTTGTAAATTTCTTCCCATTCTTAAGTATCTTATATCATTATGATCATATTCGCTACCAAGTATAATATTTGTATGATAAGTTAATCCAACAATAACAGCTCTTGGATAACATAAATTATCTTTGTTTTTTATCGGTGTTATGCTTTTCTTTGTTCGTGAGTCTTCTGCTATATTTAATAATCTTTTCGCATTAGTAGCACCTCTAGGCATATTAACAACTTCGGCATGAAATGTGCAACCGTATATATCTAAATCTTGATTTGAAGTTAAGATACTTTGAATTTTGTTTAATAAATTGTCAATATCAGAAGTTCTTGATAACCCTGTGGAAATAGGATTCCAAAGATCAGGATGATTAATCACTATATTCATTAAATCTCCTTCTTTGAAATTTGTTTTCTGTTTTACTATTTTAATCATTTCATTTAATCCCTCTCTAATGACAGTAATTTTTTTCATAATTATGTCTGAAAGATCAGACTCGGGTGCTTTTTCATCTTCGGTTTTACCTCTGGACTGGCCCTGCCAGTCTTCCACTAATATAACCTTATAGTAAACTTTGTGTCTTCTCCATTTTTTAGTGTATTCAGCTTTTGTTTTTTCTTCTATTATTTTAATTTTAGATTTTTTTGAAAACTCTGTAAAATAACTATCTTCGAAAGCGAACGGTTGGTCGTTAATTTTTTGTAATAATTCTGCCTTCTTCATTTTAGAGTAACCTTTGATATTCTTTTCTTTACCAATTTTTCTTAATTCTTTTATCGTTGTATTCTGAGTCGATTCGTTTTTTGACATGGTTTCCTCTAATAATTCCTCTAAACTTTGCGACCCGATTTCTTTAAGAACAGTATTTAAATTTTCATTGTTTACATTATCTGAAATTCGATTGACTAGATGTGTTTTTTACTATTTTGCTTTATTTTTATAACTAGTTTTTCAGCAATCGATTTTAATTTTTTAATATTGAGTCTACTTAATAAGCCCAGTCTTTTTGCAATGGTTTTTAATTTTTTTTATTTTAGTTTATTTAGGACAATCTCATTATTTGTCCGTGGTGTTAAAAAATATTTATCCATCGAGGACGGCTCATGGTGAGGCTTCGGCTTCGCCTTTGGGCTGGCTTCACCAGGCTTCTGAACTCGATAGCGAAGCTGTCTCATGAGTGGAAGACGAACTGTCTTTAGTAATTTGTTCAATTATATATCGTCCACTTTTTTTTATTCACCTTTAGTAAGTTTTATAATTTCCTCGAGGCTCATTTTACGAAGCTGATCTTTCGAGAGCCCCATTTATTAAGGAAAAAATTATTCAAAAATACATTTATGGATGAAATTCGCTTCGCACGAGGACTTTGTCCGAATTATCCTTTTAAGTCGTTAATATATTTTTCTAATTTTTCATGCCATATTTTTTTGAAATACTCATGAGCGGAATTCCCTATCTAATAAATAATGGCACTAATTGATGTTGCAGACAAAAATCAGATAAAAATTATTCAAAATAGAATAAAAAAGACTGCATTGATTTTAATAGTTTATCTGTTGGTAATAAAGTTAAAGCATCTAATCAACTGTATATGGAAAACAGAATTTTAAAAGAATTAGGAAATGCTGCGGTTGAAACAATAGAAAAAATGGACGAAGAAATTGAGTATAAAGATAATAAAATTAATGTATTGGAACAAGAATTAAAAGAGGTCAATAGTTATGATGAAGAAAAAATAAACGCGTTACTGAACAAAAATCTTGTTATAACAATAAAGAACGAGCAAAAAGACGTTTAGCAAATACTTTTTCTCTAGTTAATAAATGAATACAGACAAAGTCCTCATGAACACAGCGAATTTATTAATCAAGGCAAACTTAAAGATTGTGGAATTAAAAAAAGAAAAGAAAAAAATTATATTTATTTTTATTTGTATTATTTCAATAAATCTTATAATAATGTTAGTTGCATTTCTGCTTCGTATATACCCTCTTTAATTTTTTCACCGTTAAGATCAGAAACAAAATAAATCTAAACATTATATACGCGTTTTTCTACAACTGTGAATATTTCTTCAGTCCAGTTCGTTTTTAATTTGTTACGAAAAATATCAACCATATTAGACAATCTAATTCTATCACCAACTTCAAATTTTGGTTTTTTATTTGTTAATGTAATCATATATACGGTTTCTAATAACTGCCTTTCATTTTCTTTATTAACATCTTTTGGTTTCATTTTAATCGTAGTATGATAAGAATTGGCTAAAAAACATAATAAATGATTTTTATTATAAATTGTGGTCAATCTTTTAAGACGGCAGTAAATCCTGAATCGATATTTTATATCAATTGAGTAATAAAAATAAGAATATTTGCCATACGATTTCTAAATATAACTATAATTCTAAATATATTTTAACAAAACAGCTACTACAACGAATTAATTTAAAAATTGTTTTCTACTCTACTGATAAAATTAATTTTTGAGCACAGTAGGAATAATTTAAGTAAAATACCGTTCATTCATAACACCAATTTTTCAAGGTTATTAAAGAGAAAGGAACTACAAAAGCGTCAAAAGGATGCATGTAAAAATAAAAAAATAACTATGTAAAAGAAATGATTTAATATGATATGCAATTCTTTATTTAGATTCAAAGAAAGCATCTAAAAGCTTAAAACAGAGTGTTTCATAACTTGCGCCTCAGATAAAAATGCCAAGTAAGGTAATAATAAGATACCAGAAACATGAAAAAAATTTAAAACAACGTAAGTACAGGGAGACTTTTTGGCTAAGGATGTCCACAACAATAAATATCAAGTAAAATTATTAATTTTTATGAGTCAAGTTACTTTTGATTAATTTGTTTGTAAGTTTTGTTAGGCTGGTAATTTTATAAGAAACAAATACATCAGAGGAATTTGTTTGATCTTTCTTATATTTACTTGTTGAGTTAAGAAAAGGTAATAATGTAATTAATAAGATTTTATTTTTTTCAGGTATTCACATCAACGCAAGACTATGAGGGTAAGT